TGCCCACCTCTCCACCCAGCCACGGGTGCTGGGGACCCAGGGAATGGCAGTGCCCACCTCTCCATGCAGCCACTGGTGCTGGGGACCCAGGGAACAGCAGTGCCCACTTCTCTGCCCAGCCACCCATGCCAAGAGCACAGGAAATTAAGTGGAACAAAGAAACTGCCAATACTACGAAAAAAAAAAAGCACAACAAAATGACAGCAGTAAACTCATACCTAGAGATAATTACACTGACTGTAACTGGCTTAAATGCACCAGTAAAGAGACAGAGTGGCAGAATGGATTAAAAAAAAAAAAAATGATCCACCTATATGCTGTCTACAAGAGACACACTTTAGACACAAAAACATAAATAAACTAAAACTCAAAGGATGGACAAAATATATCAAACAATAACCAAAAAAGAGTAGAAGTGGCAATATTAATCTCTGATAAAATATACTTTAAGGCAAAATCCACAATAGAAGGTAAGGAAGGACATTATATAATGATTAAAAGGTCAATCCACCAAGAGAACATAACCATAATATAAATATACACCCAACCAGTGACAGATGTCCAAAATACATAAAACAAACTCTAACAGCACTGAAAAGAAAAATCGACAGTTTCACAATAATAGTAAGAGACTTCAACATACCATTTTCGGTAAAGGATAGAACAACTAGAAAGAAACTTCACAAAGATACACAAGACCTAAATGCCACAGTCAACTAACTTGACCCCACAGACACATACAGAACACTCTACCCAACAGCAGCAAAGTACACATTCTTTTCTAACGCATATGGATCATCTTCCAGAATACACCATGTTTTAGACCACAAAGCAAGCTTCAATAAAATCCAAAATATCAAAATAATACAAAGCATTTTCTCTGATCACAACACTATAAAACCAGAAATCATTAACAGGAAGAACAAGGGGAAAAAATAATCAAATACACAGAACCTGAATAACACTTTGCTTAAAAACAACTGAATAATAGAGGAAACCAAAGATGAAATTTAAAAAAAAATCCAAGAATCAAATGAGAATGAAAACACAACATACCAAAACCTTTGGGACACAGAAAAAGCAGCGCTCAGAGGTCAATTTATAGCAGTAAATGCACACACCAAAAAAGGGACAAAATCAAAACATTTACCTCTAACTCAAACAAATGGAAAAAGAGCAGCAAAAGAAGCTCACAGCCACCAGAAGAAACGAAATAATAAAGATTAGAGCAGAAATAAATGAAAGAGAACAGAAAAACAATAGGAAGAATCAACAAGACCAGAAGTTGGTTCTTTGAAAGGATCAATAAAATCGACAAACCACTGGGCTAAATTAACAAGAGAAGGAGAAGAAGCAGCAAATCACCCAAATAAGAAAAGAGATGGGTGACATCACAACAGAACCAATTGAAATAAAAAAGATAACAGAATATTCTGAAAAATTGTACTCCAACAAATTTGAAAACCTAGAGGAAATGGACATATTCCTAGAAACACACTACCTACCTAAACTAACACAAACTGAGAGTTACAAACTGAACAGACCCATAACCAGAGAAAAGATTCAAGAGTTATCAAAAAAAACTCCAAACAAAAAAAGAGACATGAATGGCTTCCCAGGAGAATTCTACCAAACATTGACAGAAGAGCTCACATCAATACTGCTCAAACTATTTCACAGCATAGAGAAGGAAGGAAGACTCCAGAATTCATTCTATGAAGCCAACATAACCCTGATACCAGTCAGGAAAAGACATCACAAACAAAAAAAATTATAGACCAATATCCCTCATGAATACATCCTTGCTGTAGTTAGGTGCCATCGAGTCAGTTCCAACTCATAGCGACCCTATAGGGCAGAGCAGAACTGCCCCATAGGGTTTCCAAGGAGCGGCTGGTAGATTTGAACTGCTGACCTTTTGGTTAGCAGCCGAGCTCTTAACCACTAAACCATGAATACAGACACAGAAATTCCCAACAAATTTCTAGCCAACAGAATTCAACAGCATATCAAAAAAATAATACATCATGACCAAGTGGGACTCATATCAGGTATGCAAGGATGGTTCAACATTAGAAAATCAATGTAGTCCACCACATAAATAATCACATGATCATTTCAAAGAACGCAGAAAAGGCAATTGATAAAGTCCAAAGCCGATTCCTTATAAAAACTCTCAGCAAAATAACAATAGAAAGGAAATTCCTCAACTTAATAAAGGGCATTTATACAAAACCAACAGCCAACATCATTCTAAATGGAGAGAAACTGAAAGCATTCCCATTGAGAATGGGAACGAGACAAGGATGCCCTTTATCACCACTCTCATTCAACACTGTACTGGAAGTCCTAGCTAGAGCAAAAAGGTAAGAAAAGG